AAGGACATTGCCAAACCCTACAAATGGCTGAAATTACATAAACATTCAACACAACGGAACTAACATTACAACCCTGGACAAACCTTTCACATTCAGAAACGCGTTTCTTCATCGTACACCATGAATCCATGTACAACAAAATAAAAGAAAACTCCTACATGATGGCAAACGACTTCTAATGGATCTTCAAATTCATACGTTCTGAGATCGTATATTTCCCAAAGTAGTGCAAGTCTTATAACTACATCAGTTCGGAGCACAAGGCTCCAGTTCCTGGTCAAACAGCGTTGAACCCAACCCACTGTCTCACTCCGCACGGATCACAATACGCGCTACGATTAAAGACAAGATCGTTTTAACAATGGTAAGTTTTCGGTTTGCAACATCGCTTTTTTAAGCATTTGATGCTTTTATCCCTTGAGGTACTTTAGAGAAAGATTCCGGCCAACAACACTCCACAAACCCCACGTGCGGCCGTTGTCATGTCACAAGCGAGAGTCGGCTGCCGTTGATGGGTCAGCCATCACCAATAGTAACCGCTTTTGACCTCTCTGACGCTCATAGGACGATGTCCACTCATGTACAAACCATAACCTCAGCGGTTTTCGCCTGCTGATCCCCAGTTGCCCCTGAAGTCAAACACGACGTGCACGAAACCAACTCCACCGCAACATGACCTCATTGATGGGATGAAGGTTTTGTTTCCACCAGCATAATGTGGCGTATATTGGTGGACAGAGAAAGAAAAGAACAAACATCCCAAATCAATAGAGTGAGTGAGTATGGTTTTACGCCGCTTTTAGCAATATTCCAGCAATATCACGACAGGGGACACCTGAAATGGGTTTCAAACATTGTACCCATGTCGGGAATCGAACCTGAGTCTTCAGCGTGACGAGTAAACGCTTTAACCACTAGGCTACCTGACCGCCCCACATCAACGGAGTGTTCAAGAACCATATGTAGTCTTTACAGTATCCTGTTTTTAGACATCTCTCCGAGGCAAGGGAGTTAACTGACTATAAAAGTCCAGTTTCCACCCTTGCCGAACTTGGCTGGAATATCGTGTCTTGATCTTAGCGCCACCAGTGACCATTACGAGTTAAGTTCATTCTATGTCCCTCCTATGGGCCAATCAGATTCCACGTCTCCTATCACTTGCATTTGCTTCAGACATAATGGCGGTGCTCAGTAAAGACGATCTGATCGATGATCAAGCTATATATTGTAAAAACACGGGTCGAATTATTGGTTTGGAAAGTATCTGTCCCCGCCCAGTTGACGGTACAAATGCTTTGCAAATGCTGCAGTCGACCTAAATCTGCACGTTGGAATCCATGTTGTTTACGAACCGGATGTATAGTTCGTCACGCGTTTTTTATTGCACTATGCATAGACTCGTTAGTCCAGCCAAACTGTAACTCCGGAACTCCAGCCTCGTTCGGCAAGGGTAGAAACTGGACTTTTACCGAGTGACCAATGTCGAAATTTTCATGACCCCAGAGATGCCACGTCCTACATATAAAGTGCAAGTACTGAACATAGGTTAAATCAAATATGATATTTAAAATCATTAATTTTGTTAAATGTAATTAGTCATTTCGCATTATACCAGGAATTATATACCTAACACATGAGTATGTGAGTTGTTGAGTCTTCAATGTCACCAAAGGACGGGGCAGCGAAACGTGTTGGTATCAATTAAGTAACAATATTCCTGATGAAAACGGTGTCAATTAATTCATTAACAAAGGCTGTACCTGTTAATGCCAGGGAATGTACAAGTAATATCTTTGGTATCAATTAAGTAACAATATTCCCAATGAAAACGGTGTCAATCAATTCATTAACAAAGGCTGTACCTGTTAATGTCAGTGAATGTACTAAAACTAAGCGGCAAAAGAATCGGTTGGCAATTTGTAATTTTAATCCTAAAAACAGCTATAACTAGTGGAAAGTGGGTATTGGGAATATGACTGCCCAGGAACAGGTACCAAAAAACACCTCACACCTCACCCAAATGGTGAAACAGGTTTCCCGCCTATGGCATAAACTGCACGTGCATGTCAGCTTTATAAATGCGTTCGTCTGCAGGGTATAACCACACGTGATGAAAGAACACAAAAGAAATGCCACGACTGTCACAGGAGCAGAGAGTGAGCGCCATCGGTATGGCCGAAATGGGGGCAACACAGGTCCAAATTGCCAGAAGGTTTGGTTGTACACCATTGACAGTAGCCAGGCTGATTCAACGGTACAGGCAGACAGGGAGGACACAGGACAGGCCTAGAACCGGACGACCCCGAGTGACAACACCACTGGAAGACGGTCAGATACGGCTCATTCACCTGCAAAACAGATTCGTAACGGCGACGGCGACAGCAGCAACAGCTTTGGGACATCCCATTAGCCAACGTACAGTACTACGACGACTTCGTGCTGCTGGAATCCGAGCGTATAGTCCTTTCCGAGGAATGGTACTGACTGCTCAACATCGACGCCTGAGACTGCGATGGGCGAGGCAGGTTCGACGCTGGCAAGTGAGAAATTGGCGTCGAGTGCTGTTTACTGATGAAAGTCGGTTTAACTTGTTTCGAAATGACGGCAGAGAACGAGTTTATCGACACAGAGGGGAACGTTTGGCTCCGATGTGTATTCGAGAGGTCCATCCATTCGGCGGGGGAGGTGTCATGGTGTGGGGCGGTATTTGTGGAGATCGGAAGACTGATTTGGTGATTATACAGGAAAACCTGAACGCTGTGCAGTACAGAGACCAAGTGTTGCAGCCAGTTGTGCTTCCGTTCTTACAAAACCAACAGCAGGGGACATTGTTTCAACACGACAATGCCAGGACCCATACTGCAAGACTGACTCGGAACTTTCTTAACCAGCAGAACGTTGACGTTTTGCCCTGGCCTGCCCACTCACCCGATATGAATCCTATTGAACATCTGTGGGACCATCTTGACAGACAGATTAGAGCACGCCATCAGCCTCCCGTCAACAGACAAAAATTGCAGCAGGCCCTGAGAGACGAGTGGCAACGGATTCCAGTCCACGTCATCAGAAGACTGACGTCATTGATGAGGCGGCGTATCACAGCATGCATTGAGGCAGATGGAGGTCATACACGCTATTGAAGGCAACTGTGTCGACAATGAACTTGTAGTGTGGTTGACATTTTTTTGGTGACATTTCAGACAACTTTTGAAAATGAAATTTCTTACCCCACCATTGTTGACCTTGAGCTTACATTACCTGTGATTGCACAATTTCATTCAAACTATGGTTGATTAATCATTTGTTACCCGTCTCTAGATTATATTATAAAACCTCTTCTTGTTATTTTTTTATCGATCATGGAACTCGACCTATACTTTCTTTTGCCGCCCAGTTTAGTAATATCTTATAGGAATTAATAATTAAAGTATGAAATAAGGGTGTAAGCAAGTATAAGTAAGTGATATGTAGTACATTGTAGATAATTTTTTAATAATATTTTTTTAGGCTCATAGTACATTGTAGTAACGACCGCTTTTGCTACTCGTGTTTGAGAATTATCACTCCCTGATGTATAACATAAAAAGAAAAATGGCCCCCTTGATATTCTTTCCGCGATTGGATTCATATTTGGATAGCTGAAGGGCAACTGCTCTTGTTTATCCAGAATGTGTTGAGCTGCATGAATTTACCTAGGACTAAATAAGTACAGGTCTTCATCACATGTACCCATCACAAGTACAACACGTAGGCATGCCATTGGAAAAGATAAGTTACAATGTGCTGGAAGTTAGCAATAGTTTCGTAGCCGTCTATGTTTAGAAATTTCATTTGACAATTTAATCGGTCTAACAAATAGGCACTAAAATTGTGCTAGTAACAGGTAGTGAAACCCTAAACTGTCATGTTTTTAACAGTAGATGGTTTCAGTAGACGATGTCATACAGCCTTACGACCGCAACCCTAGGTTGACGGACTAGTTAAGATGGAGATAAGGTTACTTCGTGAAACCAGAATAACTTAAGGCGAAGGTAACCTTAATTGGTTAAGGATAATCTTAGCTAATCTTTGTGGAACGGGGCCCTGTACGACGTCCCCGAGCACTCTATTGTTACAAACTGAAAGATATTTAACTTGTTTGAATGATAAAAGTTTAATCATTGCTTATTGTAAACTTAGAATTTCATTTCATAATTTTAATGTTAATATATGTCGCAGGTGAGCTCTATTTGTACACACTGTTCATCCGGAGAAGTAGAAGATGAATACCATGTCTTACTTATATGTGAAACGTATTCCCATTTAAGGTATAAATTTCTCCCCATGTTGCAAGGTATTTTTAAAGACCGTCAGTTAATGATAAATCTGCTAAACTCTGAAAATCCTTATATGATCCATGCTGTTTCTGTATTCTTAAAACATGTCTTTATAATGAGGAATGTGTAACTTGATTTAAAATCTGATCATGTACATCACGTGACAAATGTTAATATCCAATCTGCATTGTACTATGGGACTTGATGCCTAAATTACTGAAATAAACTGTCTGTCTAACGCTCTGACTCTCCTAATATTCAAATCAAAAGTTTATCCAGGCTGCCCCCTCATTGAACAGCATGACTGACTTAATAGGTCATATGAACATGGAATTGCATACTGGAAGCACATAAATGTCAGAACTGATAAAGATGTGTTCGTATGTTTGAATTAGCCGTTCATCCTTGATACTTCTGTCTACGTAATAAAGTGAACATGTTTATGTCACCTCGGTTTAATCAAATTAACAACAACAATATATACCACATTGGTCACACTCTTTCATCATCCAAACACCTACACGCTATCACCCTTAGAAACTTGACAACAGCATCAAAACAACACGCTGTAACTGGCTAACAAGATCAAACATCCTACATATTTACCCTGGTTTGTTGTGGCAATGGATGTATACAACAATAAGCTTGAGTCACTGACTTCTTTTTTCCCTTCTTATCCTTGTCATATCATCATATGACTTTTCATAACAGTCGTCAACTGGAGCCGCCATCGGTCCGCTACTTGGAAGTTCGCCATCGAAAGGAATATATTTGGTTCTCCGGTCATGTCAGTCTTGAGAATAATAACTGTGTTTGCAGCATTGGTAGCCCAAGTGTTCAACTGGACGGCGTTCTGCACGTCTGTGTGGGGCAAAATGTACGACAGCGTCTTCGGCGACTCGTACAGAAGTGTTGGGTTGTGGGTGTCATGTCCGTCCGACCTCGTGACCCAGTGCTACTCCTACGTCGGGACCACTTTAGGTAGGCATGAAAAAGCTATTAAGCCTTGGTACTCATATTTAAGTGTATAGTTATTGTATAGTTTAAGCGAACGAACAATTCGAAGAAATAATGCTTGACGTGAGATTAACAAACACATTAAATAACAATATTCTAGAAGCATTAGAAGAAGACAATTTGTACAAAATGCACTCTCTATGATCAAGTGTTTATCTTGAACGAATGGAGATATAATGAACTGGATATTGGATGTAGTACAAAATGATACCATTTCCAGGGAGACCAATACAATATACACAATGAACTGGGGGAATGCATTGGTGATGTAAAGTTTAATACTGACTGAAGTAGCCGGTTCTCCTTGCATACAACTTCCCATACGTTAACATACACTAACTGCGGCAATGATGGCTCTTGTGAAACGGGCACCAGTGCTCTCTGTGGGAGAGTGAGTGGGTGGTTTGACGCAGTTTTTAGCACCATTCCTCACATACCACTTGGACACTGACGAAATAACGCTTTAACCAATATACTCCAATGTTTGGATGCTGTTGGATGTAAATCTTGAAAGTTTGAGTATGTAACATAAATGGTATTTCAGGACAGGAATAATCACTTCCACTTCTTCATTTTAGGTTTCCATGTGGCCATTCAAGCAATGGCGTGTCTGGGGTTCATTGGCGTCAACTTCACCTTTGTGGCCGCCATCCTCCGGATGTCGGCGGCGAAGGACTGGAGGAGTCAGTTCCATCTGTCCAACGGCGCAGTGGCTCTACTCAGTGGTCAGTAATACTGGCCATAGTTGAATGGTCAACATAATATACAAAATAAAAGGGACACAACTCTTTTCATTGTCATAAGAAATCTGCTAACAGCAAGCACAGTTAAACGATTCTGACTACCTCATGAGCATGTGTTTTTGAATCACTATCCAATACTGATGATACCGGGTGTTCGTGAAAAGGTGAGTGTATCCTGCCTCACCGGTGGCACCCATCACAAATACATACAAGCAAGCCAATTGTTCACCTACAAAAAAAACAGGAACATATGGTACAAGACAAAATAGGAAATTACATCGGATGTCTGATATCACCGATATCCACCATGTCTTGAATGGTGTTACCTTGCTCAAAAAACTTTGAGCAAGCGCCATATGCCTCCACGCCACATCGAAAACCGGGTTCGATTCCCCACAATGATACAACGTGTGAAGCCGATGGCTTGTGTCCCCCGCCGTGATATTACTGGAATATTGCAACCATATTCTCTCCAGTTGCCTGTCCTATCCCCAAAGTTCACGCTGCTATATGTTTCGATTCAGCAATGAGGTAAAGGTTATGAAATTGATCAGATGTGATCATATAAATGTCATTTTGTATTATACACACGGGATTTAACACGTTGTTGTCTTTGGATATTTTGGCAAGCATGTGGTGAAAACATCATCCAGGGCCACAGACTTGATCATAATTAGATTCACTGCAGATGCACATGTCCAATAACAATAACACGTTTCCTTGTTTCCAAGTTGCGGTGGGTTCTTTTATGCCTAAGTCTTTTCTTTCTACCATGACCGTTAGGTCTACTGTGAGGTGACACTACCATTTGTCTCACAACATTCCATATTAGAAATCGAGAAAAATATCCGATGGTGGAAAATGCTGGAAGTTGTCTGCAAGACGTATATTTCTTCCGGACGTTGCTCCCAGGAAAGGGTCACAGGGGTCCAAGTGATTTAAGGGGCCGCAATCAGGTCACCAGAGTAGCATCCTTTAACGCCCCAGGATCCGCTGACCATGGGTTCTCTTTTATTATGATTCTGGGTCACCAAAGGGTTAACCTTTCATCTCTTTTCTCACACGAGCTGCCACGCCGTGAACTAACTGAAATACAAAGCCGCATTAAATACTTAAAACTTGCTCACTAGTCTCAACAACACTCATAGAATATTGGAGGTCTATTGGTGTTTGCTATTTCAGAAAGGACAATGCTAAATTTTGATACTAAAAATACTCATAATGAATTCAAGAAGTGAACTAATGAGTGTTCATTGATTCATTGTAGCCTTCTTCTGGATGGTTGCTGTCGCCGTTTTCGGGGCGTCCTACAGACGTGACGGACGTCTGATGAATGGCGTTGGAAGGCTTGGCGAGATTGGCTTCTCGTTCTGGATGGCTGTTATGACGATGTTGGTGGAGATCGTTCTTACTGTGCTGTTTATGATCGGCAAGAAGATGGGAGGCTCTGTCTCCGTCAACGAGCCTCGAAACAGAACCGGAGTAGATGTGTCCATCACTGAAGTCGACGGCGTGTAACGGACAATCAGTCGTAATGTTCCTTGTAGAGGAGAGTAATCACGATGTCTTTCTGTAACAGGTCTAAAGCAATCCACATGTCAAGATGTATTCCCAATGTAACTGACCAGAAAACCATTGACAACTTCAGAACGCTAATCATTTCCCGAGGTGTCTGTTGTTATTTTGTCTTTCTAAAGCTATATTCGATCGTTTAAGGAATAGAGATTAATTAATCTTCTTAATAATCATTGTAATGATTTTAAATCTTGAATAGCCGTTGCATTCACGGTATCTATTTCAAATATATATAATCTTCCCCGTTCCACAGTCATATGGGCCTCTATTATTATTGACAAAAGGGAATAGTTGCGTCCCTTGGTCATGTCAGGATCCGCTAATCGTGGAATTGAGTTCGACTTAGTTATGATCCCTGTTATTTTGTCGTATACTTCCTTTGCACTGAAGTGATAAACATCACTCGTCACGTTCTTTCCCCTATCACTAAGCTGGAACGGAATGATGTAAGAGAAAGCGATGTTAAACCAACTTTCTCACGCATCCACTGTAGATGGGAACAACATCAGTTGCGAAAAGTGGAAGTTTTTCGTACAGTCTGATACCAATCCAGGAGTGAAAGAAAACCCAAGTACCCCATGCCTGCCGTAAGAGGCGACAGAAATGGGGATTGAGTGGTTACAATGGCCGCTGAGTATGACTAGTCCCCGGATATGTGACCAACAGGATAACCGACACCTGTTACACAACAGTTTTAGTCATCTTTTACCCAGGGACGCTCGTATTATCGACCAATTGGTCTGGTCCAGGCTCGATCTGCGTATAGTCCGACGTGATGTTAATGTAATATTGCTGACTTCGGCCTCAACTCGCCCGACGATCACACGGTATATGTAACTTGAATATTTAATCATTTCCCTTACGAAATTTAAGAAGTTTACATGAAAAGACATTGTAGACTGAAACTCTGTTAAACGGGACGGTCCGGTTTCCATAGAAACTGTCCGTATGAACTGATCTTTGGCTTCTGGAGAAACTGTCCGTATGAACGGTTCTTTTGGCTCCTGGAGAAACTGTCTGTATGAAAGGTACTTTGGCTTCTAGAGAAACTATCCGTATGAACGGTTCTTTTGGCTTCGTGAACGTCCGTAAGGCGGAACGTCCGGATCAGCAGTGTCTGGACTAAAGAGGTTTTACTGTTCCATACTGGGTAACCTATTTTCTGATTACATGTTGCCACAAAGTTATTTTGAAAGATATATCAGCAACGATGTTCGGGTCTTATTTAAATGTTGGGTTGATTGGTGTAAATAAATGTATAGATACTTCTTGTAAATCATATCCAATGTAAATATACGTCTCAACGAACTCAACATCTATATAGACCAAATGTAATGCTCTTGGCTGTATGTGATATACTAATATATCTTGTATATAATATGTTGTCAGGCCATTTCTTCTTCTTGCTCTCTGGATCTCTGTCACTATGGTTTCTATGGCAATGTTGATCCAAATCCATGACAGGGAAATTAACCCAACCATGAACTTGTTTCAAGGAATAATTAAGAAATGTTTTCATGCATCCATAGTAACATGACGTCAGAATCAAACATGTTTTAGAGACACATGTTCACTGAAGTGTTTTAATTTCTCGGTTGAGGTATTTGTACCTGGAATAATGTATACAAGCACATTGTTTGAATAAAATCATTTGAATCGCAATTATGAGGTATTTTGGAGTTAAAATAAGTTTTATGACTGAATTTTAAATTGTGAATGACTATCATATCTGTCATTATGAACACGTGGGAGTTAATTGGTGAATTGATCACAGGGTAGAGACGGTTTATATGTAAGCAAATAATATTGGCACGTGTAAGCCGTTCGAGAAAAGGGTGTCTCAATTTCCGACACCAGATGCTATCACTGCCTTATACTAATAATAAAACGGAGATACTCCTTGTACGTGATGTCTTAACTGCCTAATGCAAGCAGGACTAAATATACGATCTCTGCTTTGTGTGCCAGCAGTGGGATGGGAGATATATACTCTTTTAAAGCACCAGGTGTTTTAACTGCCTAATGCAATCAGGAGTGAATATACATACTCTGCTTTGTGTACCAGCAGTTGGATGGGAGATCTATACGCTTTTAAAGCACCAGGTGTCTTCACTGCCTATTGCAATCAGGAGTGAATATACATACTCTGCTTTGTGTACCAGCAGTTGGATGGGAGATCTATACGCTTTTAAAGCACCAGGTGTCTTCACTGCCTAATGCAATCAGGAGTGAATATACATACTCTGCTTTGTGTACCAGCAGTTGGATGGGAGATATATACGCTTTTAAAGCACCTGGTGTCTTCACTGCCTATTGCAATCAGGAGTGGATATACAAACTCTGCTTTGTGTGCCAGCAGTGGGATGAGAGATATATACTCTTTTAAAGCACCAGGTGTCTAAACTCCCTAATGCAATCAGGAGTGGATATACATACTCTGCTTTGTGTGCCAGCAGTTTGATGAGAGTTATATACTCTTTTAAAGCACCAGGTGTCTTCACTGCCTATTGCAATCAGGAGTGGATATACATACTCTGCTTTGTGTGCCAGCAGTGGGATGGGAGGTATATACTCTTTTAAAGCACCTGGTGTCTAAACTCCCTAATGCAATCAGAAGTGGATACACATACTCTGCTTTGTGTGCCAGCAGTGGGATGTGTGTGAGAGAGAGAGAGAGAGAGAGAGAGAGAGAGAGAGAGAGAGAGAGAGAGAGAGAGAGAGAGTGCGAGAGTTGTATTAAAACTGCCCAAGCAACAATACTTGAAACCTGTTAAAATGTAGAATCTCGTGTCATCGACTACCATTTGAGAAAGGATGATGGAATAATATACATATTGATAAACATTCGGTAACATTATTTCATCATAATAGCACATGTGATGACTACCATTATTAGTGACTATTGTAGCGACATTTATAGTTCCTACATGTCTGAATACATTTCTATATGTAACATGATCTTGCTGAGTTTCATAGAATGCTTTAAAGAAACTTGCAAACTTCAGAATAATTCTAACAATTGTCAATTAGTCGCCATCAAAAACAAATATGATACTCTGCTAACGTCAAAATACCATGCACTTAGTCTTGAGTGGAGTGGCACATAGTCTCAAAGTTCTGCTCTGTTGTTCTGGAATGCAATGAGACCGCCTCCGTGGTCTAGTGGTAGAGCGTCCGCCCGGAGAGCGGAAGTTCCAGGGTTCGATCCCCGGCCGCGTCATACCAAAAGACGTTAAAAGATGGTACTTGTTACCCTGTCTGGCGCTCGGCATTAAAGGGCTAAAACAAGGAATGGTCGTCTCGGAGTCAGTATACAGTGTCTGAGTGGGGTATTCATGTTAAACTGCGGCATGATATCTCAGTGTGCTAGCACTATAAATCGGCATCAGTCCGGACTAGTACAAGCAGCCACATACACACACACGTGCATGCACGTCGCTATATAAGCGCAATAATCTTGGACGCGACGTTAAACCCAATTTCAACTCACCTCACCTCGAATGCAATGAGGGAGAAGCCGTACAGAAACAGGCTCTCAGTCAGGCTAAATTTAGAAAAGCCTATCGGGAAGGACGCAACTTGCTCCGAGTTGAGAACGCTCAGAATGTCCGGTTAAGATTCAGTTAAAAGTTTTAAGGTGGGTTTTGTGCTTGATGAAACCAAACAATGTTGACAGTGTGAGAATACTTCTATTGACCTTAACAAGACATTAAGATGTACACTCAATACTTGATGGTGTAGTACCTGGATGTGACACTACTTGATGCATGGATGCCAGCGACATCAATGTACATTGAGTTATCCAAGTTTTTTTAATAATTGAACCATCGACATGAAATGACTGAGAACGGTTTACAGAGGATATTAAACATATTGCCTCACGTCGCAGACATACTTCACCACACCCTACGATTTCTGCTGACCTGGTTACGTATGCATGTAAGAAAACTTAGTCAGCCATAGCGATGATACGGCTATGAAGGTGTGTGCTATGTATTATTAACATGGATACCCACGAGGTGAACAGCTATGGCATGCCACGTCAGGAGATCGCTTTCATATATCTATTCACGGACGTATATACAATATATCTATATATCTATATACGTCTTTGGTCTATTGTCCTTCTATTTCATTTTGTCAGAACAAAACAATGGCAGGGAAGCCAGTGCTTGTCAGCGATGACTACAACGCAGCGTTTGAGCCCGAGACATACTTGAGCACTTACTACAATGACCCCTCTCCTAACCCAGTGGTCGGCGACATGATGACCTTCGGCCTGACCCAGTTTCACGAGGCTTTTGCTTCAGGTGGGTAAATTGTTATACAGACAACTCTGGTTAAGGGGAGGACCATTTGATATTTAGGGTGCGGATGGGAACGGGTTCGTTTAGTAGAGTCATGTTCTTCTACATTTGTAGATGCTGAGATTTCCTTTCCTTCACAAAAAAGATCGGAGAATTTTTTATGTCAAATTAAACATTTTCTCGCTGTTCACTATTAAAAGGGTACAGGTATAGGTGATGTTAAGAAAATAGAGTTTTAATAAAGCATTTTCATATAAAATAATATAATTTTACGAGACCACGTGTAGCAACACCCCAGAGTGCAGTTCTCTTCAGATCGGCAGAAAATTGGTCATCTTGACATGTTTGTACTCACAACTCCTTGAGGAATATACTTTTCGATGACTAAGATTGTGGATGATGGACATAAATAGCATAACTTTTGATGTAAGCTTACGACGAAACGCTATCAAACTGACATTTGGGCACTTTGGGTCCAAACCCCAAATCGTGTAACCAAATGGTTCAGAATCAATCGCCCAAACACAACGAAAACAATTTGCTGAACGTGCCTACGTACCCAGATCACGGGAACTTGAATTTGACGTAAAGCCTTGGCTGCACCGACAGCATGATGACCTACAAAGCTAAGGGTGTGAAAGGGGCGAGGCACTGTTCATTTACTCCCAAACTTCTTGACAGTAGTATGCTAAGATTTGAAATTATTATTGATAAATAAGTGTTACATCATACTATCTATCATGTTTTTGTCTCGATGTCCAAGATTATGAAACACAATTATGAGCTGTGTTTTTTTTTAAATCATTAAATCAAATGGTCCATCCCACAAAAGTTATAAATCCAGGGCAAAAGTATCTACTTAACTGGCTGGCCTTTTATCCGACAAGGATTGTTCCAACTTTTCTATTTTACTAACTACACTTTTGATATCAAGTCAATGTCTCCTGGCCCCTGGTTCTATCAGATAACCGACAGCCCCGACACAACACTACTGTTGTTGCTGGCAGGGAATATAAGCAAAAACACAGCGATATGGGGCAGCTAACTGACACTTTATTCCCGCACAGGTTTCTCTCAGTGGCTTATGAGCCTTTCCCATATGGGAGCTAGCCATTGTTGTTAGTTGTTTTCACTGTAAGCACTGGTGTCACTGTGAGCAAAGACGTCATCTAACACATATTTCTACAGGAAACATCAAGGGGAGACAACTGCTTGACTTTGGTACAGGACCCACTATACACTCAATCATCAGCTCATCTCAACACTGTGAAAGCATCTTACTGGCGGAGTTCTCATTGAAAAACAGAGACACCCTGAAACAATGGCACAATGGGGAGCTGAAACATAGTTTTGCCAAATTTATTGACTGTGTTCTCAAACTGGAAAGAAAAGAGTAAGTCTTTTCAGCAATAATTCACATTTAAATTCTGAATAGTCAGAAACAGTACGCACATTGAATCACATTAGATTACGTTTTAGAATTGATCATCAGCGTACGAACTTTTTACGCCATTTGGTATTTATATGATGACTTATATAAATATATATTAGAATCCGTGAAAATCAAACAAAGGCGGTCTGACCCTTAACTCTCCGCTGAAACTATATGGGATATGTTGTTTTAAAATGTAACAAATATGTTTGAGATTCTCAAATATACTTTACCGCTTACACGTGTCTCCATTTCATGAGTATGGTACTGTAAACCCTTTTGCTAATGTTTCTATTCTAAAACACAATGCCTTGTCATTTCAATTTCAAGAAGCTGTTAATTCAAAAGCAGTTAGTAAAATTGTGATATCGTTTCATATATTAATTTCAGGGATTCTGTGTCTAACAGAGAAGCCAGCATGAGAGAGAAAGTGTCTGGCATCATACCGTGTGACATCCGAAATGAGAACCCCTTTGCTCCATGCTTCATCCCCTCTGCCGACATCATCACATCCTCCCTGTGCATGGAAGCAGTGGCCTTGAGTATTCCAGAATATGAATCTTATTCAGCGCGACTTGCTTCAGTCCTGAGACCTGGAGGACACCTAGTTCTTTTCGGCTGTGTTGGGGGATCTTTCTATACAATTGGTAGCAGTCGCTTTTCCAGCTTTGGTATGACCAGCTCAGAGATACAGGCTGCATGGACCAAAGCTGGTTTGGAGATTGTAACCTGGAAGGAAGGTCGTCGACCAAATCCAGAACAGAAGGAGATCACAGATATTGATGGATTCTTCACTTTGGTAGCAAAGAAGCCGAAGGCGTAAAAACAGAAGTTATTAAATTTCATAAAACTGATAGATTTATTTTCCTATCCAGAAATATAAATTATACATCATTAACAAACAGTACATCAGAAAACGAATTACCACCTATTACAGTACGATATGTGCACTGTTTTGATAGATTTCAACAGGTTTTTCTGGTGTCCATTGTCAATATTGTTCTAGACCTTGTCATTAGTATCATACAGAGACTCTGTCAATGCTAGATTGATAAACATAATAAAACTAGAAGTTAGAGTTAGAAGACAAACTCTCTCTCTCTATCTCTCTCTCTCTCTCTCTCTATTTACAGAGTGTGGCGTTAAACAACAACAAACACAACATGATGGGGGATGCAGAAGTGAGGGAAGGGGATCAGGGGTAATATTTAATATTTACCCCCGAGCGTCAGTCCGGATCAGCAGTGTCTGGACTGAAGAGGTTTTACTGTTCCATACTGGGTAACCTATTTTCTGATTACATGTTGCCACAAAGATATTTTGAAAGATATGATATCAGCAACGATGTTCGGGTCTTAATTAAATGTTGGGTTGATTGGTGTAAATAAATGTATAGATACTTCTTGTAAATCATATCCAATATACGTCTCAACGAACTCAACATCTATATAGACCAAATGTAATGCTCATGGCTGTATGTGATATACTAATATATCTTGTATATAATATGATGTCAGGCCATTTCTTCTTCTTCTTCTTGCTCTCTGGATCTCTGTCACTATGGTTTCTATGGCGATGTTGATCCAAATCCATGACAGGGAAATTAACCCAAGCATGAACTTGTTTCAAGGAATAAGTAAGAAATGTTTTCATGCATCCATAGTAACATGACGTCAGAATCAAACATGTTTTAGAGACACATGTTCACTGAAGTGTTTTAATTTCTCGGTTGAGGTATTTGTACCTAGAATGCTGTTTACAAGCACATTGTTTGAATAAAATCATTTGAATCGCAATTATGAGGTATTTTGGAGTTATAATAAGTTTTATGACTGAATTTTAAATTGTGAATGACTATCATATCTGTCATTATGAACACGTGGGAGTTAATTGGTGAATTGATCACAGGGTAGAGACGGTTCATATGTAAGCAAATAATATTGGCACGTGTAAGCCGTTCGAGAAAAGGGTGTCTCAATTTCCGATACCAGATGCTATCACTGCCTTGTACTAATAATAGAACGGAGATACTCCTTGTACGTGATGTCTTAACTGCCTAATGCAAGCAGGACTAAATATACGCTCTCTGCTCTGTGTGCCAGCAGTGGGATGGGAGATATATACTCTTTTAAAGCACCAGGTGTTTTAACTGCCTATTGCAATCAGGAGTGGATATACATACCCTGCTTTGTGTGCCAGAAGTGGGATGGGAGATATATACTCTTTTAAAGCACCAGGTGTCTTCACTGCCTATTGCAATCAGGAGTGGATATACAAACTCTGCTTTGTGTGCCAGCAGTTAGATGGGAGATATATACTCTTTTGAAGCACCTGGTGTCTTCACTGCCAAATGCAATCAGGAGTGGATATACAAACTCTGCTTTGTGTGCCAGCAGTTAGATGGGAGATGTATACTCTTTTAAAGCACCAGGTGTCTTCACTGCCTATTGCAATCAGGAGTGGATATACATACTCTGCTTTGTGTGCCAGCAGTGGGATGAGAGATATATACTCTTTTTAAGCACCTGGTGTCTTGCAATCAGGAGTGGATATACATACTCTGCTTTGTGTGCCAGCAGTTAGATGGGAGATATATACTCTTTTAAAGTACCAGGTGTCTTCACTGCCTATTGCAATCAGGAGTGGATATACATACTCTGCTTTGTGTGCCAGCAGTGGTATGAGAGACATATACTCTTTTAAAGCACCAAGTGTCTTCACTGCCAAATGCAATCAGGAGTAGATATACATACCCTGCTTTGTGTGCCAGCAGTTGGATAGGAGATATATACTCTTTTAAAGCACCAGGTGTCTTCACTGCCTATTGCAATCAGGAGTGGATATACATACTCTGCTTTGTGTGCCAGCAGTGGTATGAGAGATATATACTATTTTAAAGCACCTGGTGTCTTCACTGCCAAATACAATCAGGAGTAGACATACATACCATGCTTTGTGTGCCAGTAGTTGGATAGGAGATATATACTCTTTTAAAGCACCAGGTGTCTTCACTGCCTATTGCAATCAGGAGTGGATATACATACTCTGCTTTGTGTGCCAGCAGTGGGATGAGAGATATATACTCTTTTAAAGCACCAGGTGTCTTCACTGCCTATTGCAATCAGGAGTGGATATACATACCCTGCTTTGTGTGCCAGCAGTTGGATAGGAGATATATACTCTTTTAAAGCACCAGGTGTCTTCACTGCCTATTTCAATCAGGAGTGGATATACACACTCTGCTTTGTGTGCCAGCAGTGGGATGAGAGATATATACTCTTTTTAAGCACCTGGTGTCTTGCAATCAGGAGTGGATATACATACTCTGCTTTGTGTGCCAGCAGTGGTATGAGAGATATATACTCTTTTAAAGCACCTGGTGTCTTCACTGCCAAATGCAATCAGGAGTAGATATACGATCTCTGCTTTGTGTGCCAGCAGTTGGATAGGAGATATATACTCTTTTAAAGCACCAGGTGTCTTCACTGCCTATTGCAATCAGGAGTGGATATACATACTTTGCTTTGTGTGCCAGCAGTGGGATGAGAGATATATACTCTTTTAAAGCACCTGGTGTCTTCACTGCCTATTGCAATCAGGAGTGGATATACATACCCTGCTTTGTGTGCCATCAGTTGGATAGGAGATATATACTCTTTTAAAGCACCTGGTGTCTTCACTGCCTAATGCAATCAGGACTAAATATACATACATACATATGCTTTTCTCTTTCTTAAGAGAGAGAGAGAGAGAGAGAGAGAGAGAGAGAGAGAGAGAGAGAGAGAGAGAGAGTTGCGACATTTAGAGTTCCTACATGTCTGAATACATTTCTATATGTAAAATAATCTTGCTGAGTTTCATAGAATGCTTTAAAGAAACTTGCAAACTTCAGAATAATTCTAACAATTGTCAATTAGTCGCCATCAAAAACAAATATGATACTCTGCTAACGTCAAAATACCATGCACTTAGTCTTGAGTGGAGTGGCACATAGTCTCAAAGTTCTGCTCTGTTCGTTCTAGCCCTTTCGCCCCGACTGCCCGAAAAATCGGGCAGCATAAACCGTGTCCCAGTACCCGGCTGCCCGAAAAATCGGGCGGCTACTGTCCAAGCCCCACACACGGCTGCCCGATAAATCGGGCGGCACGACCGTGTTTACAAAATCGCTCTTTCTACTTCCTTTCTCGTGTGTAATCTCGTTCTAAATATGGAAACGAGATCTACACGTAATGACACGTCATTCGATGGAATTTCCGAGTCTTTTTGGCGCGAAAATCGCGAATGTCACCTGTTTTCGCGACAGGTATTTTTCTCACTTGAATCGTAAATCTAGCGTAATGGCGGCCAACTACGATTCGGATAGCGATCAGATGACTAACAACGACTCTATCGGGAATAATAATGTGTTTGATTTGAATAATTTACGCGAAGGGGAGAGGGAATTTCGCGAATATTTTCGTGAAGATTTTGACGGTTTCGACGAGGTGTCCCCCCCCCCCCCCGCCAACTTTCAAGAATGGGAGTGGCAGAGGGACCACAACGGTGGAGACATGAGGGATTTTGAAGAGGCGACCGGACTCAAGAATATATATTGACACGGTGAGTGAAGTATCGTGCTATTGATTTTTTCCAACTGTTTTACAATGATTCTGTGTTTGAACAGATTATCAGTGCGACGAATGAGAATGCAGCCTACACGTGAACGAGCGATCACAACAACAACAAAGGTGAGTGGCATGACGTATCTCTTTTCTTTTTTTTTAAATTTAATTTTCTGATCGCAATCCGAATTGTAGTTTGCCGGTTTGTCGTATGTCCTTATATTTCGCTCAATTTGAATAAAATTTATTTCCATATTCATGTTAGTTTTCTTGTTTTTTACATCTTAATTTAAATTTTAGTAATTGTAATAATTATTTATTTATTAATTGATGTAATAAAGTACTGATTTAATTTATTATGCAATTGTAAATAGCAGTGTATTGTAAATTGTTATCACAACTTGTATATTTGCAGAACTTGAATTTACAATCTTTCCATCCTTTTACAATCTTTCCCTCCTTTCAGATCAATCTGTGATATCTTCTCTGTGATGTCATTCTTATAGTAGCTGTGGTTCAATGTTCAGGTAATGTGATAAATTACTATTTAAAAACTTAAATACTTAATTTTTGTTTCAAATCCTGAAAAAGAACAAAATAAATCAAATATTTGTGTTTTTACCTGTGTTAACGAGTTTACCTGCGTTAACAAGTTTACCTGAGTTAACGAGTTTACCTAAGAGGCTGTAAGTGTATCATAAGTAATATGTGACATCAGTATAGAAAACAAAGTCAGTACCAAGAGTTGTAAACTTGTTTATTTGTTTACAGATGTGCATGAAGAGAATTTACCTGTTATACCTGGGATTACCTGTGCCGTCCAAGATGACAAGACCACTGTGTTATGTTTACCTTGTATCTGTGATTTATTTTTGTGATTTTTAATACAATTTGAGCCAAAATTCATTGTCTGTTTTCATTTTTTCAGTGTTTTCAAGTTTTATTTCACTTGTAAACACCTGTAATTAGAAAAAAACAAAGGTTAGAGACAATAACAACAAAGAATATTACAGTATACTTAATCCTCTTTACAATGGTATATGATAAATGTATATTAAACGCAAGTTTCTGGTAGAAAAAGTGCATCAAAAATGATAGTGTGATTGTCCAATAATACTGCCAGGGAGGCCAGTGTGCAGGCCTTGTCAGTGTCAGGGACTGCAGGGTCTCAAGGGACATAACTCTGGGGCAGCCAGTGATGAAAGAGTTAAAATGCAATGAGACCGCCTCCGTGGTCTAGCGGTAGAGCATCCGCCCGGAGAGCGGAAGGTCCAGGGTTCGATCCCCGGCCGCGTCATACCAAAAGACGTTAAAAGGTGGTACTTGTTACCCTGTCTGGCGCTCGGCATTAAAGGGCTAAAACAAGGAATGGTCGGCTCGGAGTCAGTATACAGTGTCTGAGTGGGGTATCCATGTTAAACTGCGGCATGATATCTCAGTGTGCTAGCACTATAAATCGGCATCAGTCCGGACTAGTACAAGCAGCCACATACACACACACGTGCATGCACGTCGCTTTATAAGCGCAATAATCTTGGACGCGACGTTAAACCCAATTTCACCTCACCTCACCTTGAATGCAGTGAGGGAGAAGCCGTACAGAAACAGGCTCTCAGTCAGGCTAAATTTAGAAAAAAGCCTATCGGGAATGACGCAACTTGCTCCGAGTTGAGAACGCTCAGAAGGTCCGGTTAAAATTCCGTTAAAAGTTTTAAGGTGGGTTTTGTGCTTGATGAAACCAAACAATGTTGACAGTGTGAGAATACTTCTATTGACCTTAACAAGACATTAAGATGTACACTCAATACTTGATGGTGTAGTACCTGGATGTGACACTACTTGATGCACGGATGCCAGCGACATCATTGTACATTGAGTGATACAAGTTATTTTAATAATCGAACCATCGACATGTAATGACTTAGAATGGTTTACAGAGGATTTTAAACATATTGCCTCACGTCGCAGACATATTTCACAACGCCCTACGAATTCTTCTGACCTGGTTACGTATGCATGTAAGAAAACTTAGTCATAGCGATTATACGGCTATGAAGGTGTGCGCAATGTATTATTAACATGGATACCCACGAGGTGTACAGCTATGGCATGCCACGTCAGGAGATCGCGTTCATATGTCTATTGTCCTCTTATTTCATTTTGTCAGTACCAAACCATGGCAGGGAAGCCAGTGCTTTTCAGCGATGACTACAACGCAGCGTTTGAGCCCGAGACATACTTGAGCACTTACTACAATGACCCCTCTCCTAACCCAGTAGTCGGCGACATGATGACCTTCGGCCTGACCCAGTTTCACGAGGCTTTTGCTTCAGGTGGCTAAATTGTTATACAGACAACTCTGGTTAAGGGGCGGACCATTTGATATTTAGGGTGCGGGTGGGAGTCATGTTCTTCTACATTTGTAGATGCTGAGATTTCCTTTCCTTCACAAAAAAGATCGGAGAATTTTTTATGTCAAATTAAACATTTTCTCGCTGTTCACTATTAAAACAGTACAGGTATAGGTGATGTTAAGAAAATAGAGTTTTAATAAAGCATTTTCATATAAAATAATATAATTTTACGAGAAATTTGGTCATCTTGACATGTTTGTACTCACAACTCCTTGAGGAATATACTTTTCGGTGACTAAGATTGTGGATGATGGACATAAATAGCATAACTTTTGATGTAAGCTTACGACGAAACGTTATCAAACTGACATTTGGGCACTTTGGGTCCAATCCCCAAATCGTGTAGCCAAATGGTTCAGAATCAATCGCCCAAACACAACGAAAACAATTTGCTGAACGTGCCTACGTACCCAGATCACGGGAACTTGAATTTGACGTAAAGCCTTGGCTACACTAACAGCATGATAACCTACAAAGATAAGGGTGTGAAAGGGGCGAGGCACTGTTCATTTACTCCCAAACTTCTTGACAGTAACATGCTAAGATTAACGCTACAACAGAAAGAACAAGCTGTTGGATTGTTCCAACTTTTCTATTTTACTAACTACACTTTTGATATCAAGTCAATGTCTCCTGGCCCCTGGTTCTATCAGATAACCGACAGCCCCGACACAACACTACTGTTGTTGCTGGCAGGGAATATAAGCAAAAACACAGCGATATGGGGCAGCTAACTGACACTTTATTCCCGCACAGGTTTCTCTCAGTGGCTTATGAGCCTTTCCCATATGGGAGTTAGCCATTGTTGTTAGTTGTTTTCACTGTAAGCACTGGTGTCACTGTGAGCAAAGACGTCATCTAACACATATTTCTACAGGAAACATCAAGGGGAGACAACTGCTTGACTTTGGTACAGGACCCACTATACACACAATCATCAGCTCATCTCAACACTGTGAAAGCATCTTACTGGCGGAGTTCTCATTGAAAAACAGAGACACCCTGAAACAATGGCACAATGGGGAGCTGAAACATAGTTTTGCCAAATTTATTGACTGTGTTCTCAAACTGGAAAGAAAAGAGTAAGTCTTTTCAGCAATAATTTACATTTAAATTCTGAATAGTCAGAAACAGTACGCACATTGAATCACATTAGATTACGTTTTAGAATTGATCATCAGCGTACGAACTTTTTACGCCATTTGGTATTTATATGATGACTTATATAAATATATATTAGAATCCGTGAAAATCAAACAAAGGCGGTCTGACCCTTAACTCTTCGCTGAAACTATATAGGATATGTTGTTTTAAAATGTAACAAATATGTTTGAGATTCTTAAATATACCTTACCGCTAACACGTGTCTCCATTTCATGAGTATGGCACTGCAAAGCCTTTTGCTAATGTTTCTATTCTAAAACATAATGCCTTGTCATTTCAGTTTCAAGAACCTGTTAATTCAAAAGCAGTTAGTAAAATTGTGATATCGTTTCATACATTAATTTCAGGGATTCTGTGTCTAACAGAGAAGCCAGCATGAGAGAGAAAGTGTCTGGCATCATACCGTGTGACATCCGAAATGAGAACCCCTTTGCTCCATGCTTCATCCCCGCTGCTGACATCATCACATCCTCCCTGTGCATAGAATCAGTGGCCCTGAGTATTCCAGAATATGAATCTTATTCAGCGCGACTTGCTTCAGTCCTGAGACCTGGAGGACACCTTGTTCTTTTCGGCTGTGTTGGGGGATCTTTCTATACAATTGGTAGCAGTCGCTTCTCCAGCTTTGGTATGACCAGCTCAGAGATACAGGCAGCATGGACCAAAGCTGGTTTGGAGATTGTAACCTGGAAGGAAGGTCGTCGACCAAATCCAGAACAGAAGGAGATCTCGGATACTGATGGATTATTCACTTTGGTAGCAAAGAAGCCGAAGGCGTAAAAACAGAAGTTATTAAATTTCATAAAACTGAAAGATATATTTTCCTATCCAGAAATGTAAATTATACATCATTAACAAACAGTACATCAGAAAACGAATTACCACCTATTACAGTATGATATGTGCACTGTTTTGATAGATTTCAACAGGTTTTTTCTAGTGTCCATTGTCAATATTGTTCTAGACCTTGTCATTAGTATCATACAGAGACTCTGTCAATGCTAGATTGATAAACATATTAAAACGTGAAGTTAGAGTTAGAAGACAAACTGGACAGTAATCTCAATACAGACAAATAAAGTCCAGGCTCCATACCAGAAATTTGTAATTTGACCAATTTCAAGGCATTCATTTGGGTACTTCCGATTCGACCCTAATTTCAAACATATTTGGCTGTCCTAAGGATATACAAGGAGGTACTTTCTTAAGGTTGAGAATGTTTCTTTCAAATGTAGCATGGGTATTTCCAATCATGCACATATTTTAATAATCACATGCTTCTTAACCCTATAGTAAGACTGATACAACTCATGCTATCACAACGCATACCTTTCATACCCTTTAACACTGTGTTGTTCTGAGTGACATCCTCCTCACGTTCACATAACTGTTGCGTACTAGTACAATGAGAGTTAAATGGGGGTAGAATAGGTCTTCAGCAACCCATGCTTGTCGTAAAAGGCGACTATGCTTGTAAGAGGCGACTAACCTGGTCGGGTGGTCAGGCTCGCTGACTTGGTTTAAGCATGTCATCGTATCCAAATTGTGTAGATCGATGCTCATGATATCAACCACTGGATTGTCTGGTCCAGACTCGATTATTTACGGACCGCCGTCATATAGCTGGACTATTGCTGAGTGCGGCGTTAAACAACAAACAAACACAACATGATGGGGGGTGTAGAAGTGAGGGAGGGGGATCAGGGGTAATATTTAATATTTACCTCAGAGCGTCAGTCCAAGACACGTACTGGAGCCAGTCCCAACGACATCCTCACGAAGCACCGTGCATGCAGCATTCCAGAATAACTTGACAGGGATCCAGTAGCATGCTACAAGATGTATGGGGAAGTTCGTCCTACTTCGATGCTTCAACAAGACAGTCCTTTTTTTCCTCGCCATTACTCATGGAGGAAAGGCAGGTTCGCCCTGGTACAAGAATTCTGCAATGGGTTTAAACAAATTTTACAGCATAATGAATGAGATGAGGGATGGATCCAAAGTTTCTAAAGACAAACGCATATCTTGGTATTGGTAAAATTAATAATATTACTATTAATAATGTTATGTGAAGTAAAATCATTTATATTTTGTGTATTCACACATAGTTTTCTTTTATTGTTCCTTGATCAAACTAATTGAATAAGTAGAACTATAGAAAGTGGCCACAAGTTATTTCGTCCAAGAATAGTATGATAATTAATAAGAAAATAATAATCGATGAATTATATGTGTCACTTTCTGAGAAAGTACCTTGTACAGAACCTGGTGGATGAAGATATTTCTCCTGATCTGTTCATGGGAGTATAAGGTAACTTCAATGTATTTCCATTGAAGTTACCTTATACTCCCATGAATAATATAATGAACATTACACAATTATATTAAAACACAGACACACATATATTTTCCTATTATAATAAAATTTTATGTTTGGAAACATGATGATTATAGCAAGACTTGCGAAGACCTAATATGTTTCATATTTTAAATTTTGTTTGTACGACCTCTGTGTTTAATATTTGTTTTTGTCTCTGTTGTGTATTGGCCTAAGTGCCTTGGAACTATTTTGCAACACAATGACTTGTTTGATAGTTTACAATTTGTCTGTACGACTTCTGTGTTTAATTTTTATTTTGTCTCAGTATATATGGGCCTTAGGTCTTCATGCGAATAAACTTCTTCTTTCCCTCCTCCTTATTCTTCTTCTAACTGCCTTCGTGGTCGAGTTAAGTGCGGCATGGTATCTCAGTTGGCAAGCTCTATAAAACCGGCATAAGTCCGGACTACCACACACACACACACACGCACGCACGCACACACACACACACACACACTTAATGTTATGGTCGGATTTGCAGACATTTCCAAGCGTGACTTCAGAAATAGATACCCCACTTAATATTTGCTCGTAGCATATTTCAAAGTCATTTCTTTTGATTGTCAAAGGTTCTTAGCATCGTAAATGAAGGGGTAAATATATCCTTAATTTGGGGATGTTTTAATGACAGTTCCGGTGCATGTCCATGATATTAGTCACCAACTTAAGGATAAATTTACTCCTTCGATTTGGATGCTTCGATGAACATTCTAGTCCGAAAGGTTCACATGCGGGGTACCCGTGCAAAGTTGAAATCCTTTATGTTGAACACACAATTTTGTTATACCATGTCAAACCAAAAGCGAAGTTCTGGGCGATACCGCTGATGAGTGATGTGATGTGATGTGATGCCAATTTAGCGATGTTACTTCCCAGGCTGTGCTTGCCCAGGAATCACAACATGTGGGTTCATAAAGTAGTTCCTTAATTATCTATATCTAACAAACACCCTTGTGTGTGCTTGCCAAGGAATCGCAACATGTTGGTTCATAAAGTAGTTCCTTAATTATTCATATCTAACAAAATATCCTAGTCGGTGATTTACCAGGAATCGCAACATGTGGGTTCATAAAGTAGTTTCTTAATTATCTATATCTAACAAACACCCTAGTGTGTGCTTGCCCAGGAAACACAACATGTGGGTTCATAAAGTAGTTCCTTAATTATTCATATCTAACAAACACCCTAGTGTGTGCTTGCCAAGGAATCACAACATGTGGGTTCATAAAGTAGTTCCTTAATTATTCATATCTAACAAACACCCTAGTGTGTGCTTGCCAAGGAATCACAACATGTGGGTTCATAAAGTAGTTCCTTAATTATCTATATCTAACAAACACTCTAGTGTGTGCTTGCCAAGGAATCGCAACATGTGGGTTCATAAAGTCGTTCCTTAATTATTTATATCTAACAAACATCCTAGTCGGTAGTCAAGGAGACTCTAAAAGAAACATTACATGAGTATGCTGATAGCAAATATACTGAAGAGGAAATTGATTCTCATATTAAAAATTCAACATTGCAACTAAAAATTTCTAATTGTCTTTTTCTGGAAACTTTCTTAATGAAGCTAAGAGGTAAAACTATCTCTTTCTCTTCCCTTTTAAAGAAAGATAAGAACAAGAAACTAAAAGACTTGGAAGAAAATATTAGGGTTCTGGAAGATAAAATAAGAAATGATTTCCAAAATATAGATGAAAAAATATTTTCCGATTTATCAACAATGAAAAAACAGTTAGAAAAATACCATGAAGAGGAGGTAAAAGGATCCCTAATAAGGAAAAGAATAACCTGGTATGAAGAAGGAGAGAAACCTACAAGTTATTTCTGCCACCTTGAAAATAGACATTATACCACTAAACTAATTAATAGCATTAAAACAGAAAAGGGTGAAATTATTACAGATGGTAAAACAATCTTAAATGAATTAAAGGACTTTTATTCTAAACTTTATAAACAGACCTACAATAATAATAATGTTAATAATAACCTGTTAGAAGAAATCAACACACCAATAATTAATGCAAAAGAATATCATGACCTAGAAAAAGATCTCTCAAAAGAGGAAATTAAAATTATCTATGAAAAATAATAAAAGTCCAGGAATAGACGGTTACCCTATTGAGTTTTTCAAATTTTTCTGGAATGATTTAGGAGAATGGATATTTAGATTCATACAGGAAACCTTTAATGACAACTCATTATCATGTACAATGAACAGGGGAGTTATCACCTGTCTTCCAAAACCAAACAAAGACAGAAAATTGTTAAAAAACTGGCGCCCAATCTCATTACTAAACGCTTTATATAAAAATATCAGCTCATGTATTGCTAACAGAATTAAAAAAAACTTAAATACAATCATACACCATAACCAAACAGGATTTATTCCAGGTAGATGTATAAGTGAAAACACTAGGAAGCTCTATGATATCATCTTTGAAACTAAAAGACTTAACAAACCTGGCCTACTCCTATAAATAGATTTTGAAAAGGCTTTTGATACAATTTCTAAACCTTTTATAATACAAGTAATGACAAAATTTGGTTTTGGACCGAATATCATTGAATGGGTAGGTATTTTGACTTCTAATACCACTGCATCTGTTATTCAAAATGGACATCTATCATCATTTTTTAGGCTTGAGAGGGGATGTAGACAAGGAGATCCAATTTCACCCTATTTATTTATTATCACTGTAGAAATTCTAGGTATTATCATAAGAACAAATCCAGATATAAAAGGTATAACAATTAACGATAAGGAAAGTAAACTAGGTCAGTATGCGGACGATGCTCAATTATTTCTAGATGGATCTGAAAAAAGCCTTAATACTTCAATGGATACCCTCAACAAATTTTATCAAATGTCAGGACTTAAAATAAATGTAGAAAAAACAAAATCAATTTGGATAGGATCATTGTCTGAAAGTAATCTAGTTTTAGCACAAGACTTTAAACTTGATTGGCATAAGGGAGATTTTGAAATTTTAGGGATAACTTTAAATACATCATTGAACAACCTTTGGGTAATCAATACTAGAAAAAGACTAGAACATATTAATAGACTACTAGCTAATTGGCGTAGAAGAACCTTAACTCTTATTGGAAAAATTACGGTTATCAAAACTCTTGCTATATCAACTCTGGTACACATCTTCTCTGCTCTACCCAATCCACCTAAAGCTTTTATTACCGACCTAAACACATTAATTTTTAGATTCCTTTGGAATAACAAAAACGACAAAATTAAGAGATCAACTATTAGTAGAAATTATGAAGATGGAGGTCTAAGGATGATAGATATTGAATGTTTTATCAATGCTCTCAAACTATCTTCATTACAAAAGTATATAAAAAAGTATGAAGATTCTACAACAATCTTCCCTCTAAAACATCTATTCAAACTTGGTTCTAATGCTGTAGAATGTTTATCTAAACATGACAACCCTTATTGGAGAGATGTCTTGTCTGCTTGGAAGATATTTTACCAAAAAATGAGTTTGTATGAATATGATTTAGACCACATTCTGAATCAACCTCTCTGGCTGAATCATTTATTTAAATCATCTTATATTATAAAAAACTGGTTTAATCAAGGTGTCCAGAGTGTTAGAGACCTTTGCGACAACAACGGTTTTCTTAGTTTTGAAAATTTCAAACAAAAATATAAGATCCAGGGAACTTTTCTAGACTTTCAAAAATTACTGAACAATATTCCAAAGAGTTGGAGATTTCAAATCAGAGACAAAACCCTTGATGTTAATGTAGTTCTGCTGAACAATATATGTAAACACTTCTTTAATAACGTTAAAAAACCAAGGACTTTTTATGATGAACTAATTAGGATGGATACTGTACCGAAATCATTAGAACACTGGAATATGGTTTTTCCTCAAGGTTTGGATTGGAAAGATATACTTCTATGTTATAGAAAATGCACGCGCGATTGTAAACTTTTAGATTTTCAATATCGATTTATAAACAGAATAATTTACACTAAGAAAGAATTATTCAAGATGAAACTTGTCGATGAAGATATTTGTACTTTCTGTAAAACTGCTTCTGAAGATATGTCTCATGTATATTTCGATTGCCAATCTGTTCAACAATTTTGGCTTAAAGTTGAAAACTTCCTAAATAACAACCTGCAAACAAATTTTATCCTTTCGAAACTGAATATCTTTTTTGGTATTTCCACTCAAAACCATGTAACAAATCATATTATTATATTAGCAAAAAGATTCATCTACATATCAAACATAAAACAACAAGATTTATCTTTCGAGCAATTTCTTTCACTACTAAAAGACACAATTTGTTTGGAAAGTTTTATCGCTAAAAAATAATAATCTATTTAACCAATATGCTCAGAAATGGCAAAACTTACATCTCATAATCTAACGAAGCAGTTGAAACATACTACCTGTTAATTATTAATCATCTATTTCTTGTAAACAAATATTTATAATCTCCCTCTCAGTTTGAGAAGACGACATATCCTACACAACCTGCCTGTCCTCACCTATGAAAACTATAACTTGTGTTAATACTGTCATATATATACATGTTATTACCTACACTTGTAACAATATACATGAAATGGAATAATAATAAAAAAGATTTAAAAAAAACAAAAAAAACTCTGCTTTTGGCAGTGATATCTTATGAATATTGAAATCGTATTTATGTTAATAAAGAAGTGCTAAATGATTCATATCCAACGGCTCAGCAATCAGATATCAGTATTTTGACATTTTAGGATAAAACGGTAGCACTGTTACCTGTAATGAAATCATTGTGAACCGCCGCGGTCTGTTCCAAGTTTATTTAACAGAATGACATACACATATCAGATAACGTGTTATCCCATCCGCCACACTGGATTGACTTTGTGCATTTGTACACGCCATATACATAAGCGGCGCCTGTAGTGGGAGACTCACGCTGAACACACACACTGCTGAAATTATGTCTGAGCAAACATCGCGATTCCTGAGGAAGTGTTCAATCTGAAAACTGGGTGATGTGATTAATATTTTGGCAGCATAAATGGTCAGATTGTAATGGTCTTATTGCATTTAAATGCATTGTCAATATTTTGAAATAAGTTCTGGCTTTTACAGGTTGGTAATATAAGGAGTGCCCGTGCCTTGTTACGTGGCATTGCGGTGAGTTACATTATAATTTAGGAATATGTACATATATTTCATTTTCAAACGTTTGCTATTTAAAACTATATCTTTATTCATTCTCGTCAGATTAACAATATGACATCTTGTCATCACCGTCCGAACATGCACAGTTGCAGACTTTCATTGTTTGTTTGTTGTTTAACGCCGCACTCGGCAGTATTCCAGCTATATGACGACGGTATGTAAATAATCGAGTATGGACTAGACAATCCAGTGATTGACATCATGTGCATCGATCCACGCAATTGGGATACGATGACGTGCATCAACCAAGTCAGCGAGCCTGATCTCCCGATCCCGTTAGTCCCCTCATAGTCGCCTTTTACGACAAGCATGGGTTGCTGAAGATCAATTCTTGTCGTAAGATCACTTTTCATTCCGATCGGATGTTATAATATGTGCCAAGTGTTCCCAAAGTGCATCATAATAAAGGCAGAATAGCTGTCAAAATCATTTTGAACAAAATAAAATACAAGAAATTCATTTGATGAGCCCCAGCTTTCAATTTCCACACCACATAACTGACTGATTCTAACTATATTTTCCTTGCAACCAGGCTAAAATATTTATAAATATCTCCTGACTGGTCATTTGCTGTCGATGCCAGTTCTTTCCACTTCATGATTTGTAATCCAGCTTTCTTCCATGCTGACTGCAGCTCCAACCCTGTCATTCCATAGCTCGAATAGCACCTCTTTCCGACCATATAGTAGGACCCGCCCACGCATCCAACCATAACAAGATGGCCGCCAGTTTTCAACATGGCCGCTACGCGTTTCGCGCAGTATTCATAGGAAGGGACATCTACGGCAACTGACTCCAAACAGTGGGAGGAGGTGATGACGTCGACAGGAGGGAGCCAGTTTGGACTGAAAGGATCATCCTTTCGTAGATCGCAGTGGAGGATGCAGGCTACCTTGTTTCTCATCATTGCTTCTCTTACAGACGGTATTTCACTGAAACAAATTTAGGGAATAACCAATGAGCTAGAAGGTACATTTCTATTGTTAATACAGATTTGAAAGTTAAATATGTTTTAAGTTTTGATTTTTTAGATAGGTTTTCAATCCAACGTTGTTGACCACAGTCCACGATACGTTGTTTGAATTGTGAAATGAATATTTGCGGATCTCCAACATCTTGAATTATCCAGGCGTAGCCAAATCCATACTTGAAAAGAATGTTTTTTTATATATGTTGCCCAGGATATACGGCCAGCTTCATCTAATTTGTACATCATTAAATACGTTTGCTTCGGTGACGATCAGTGTTCATAGAGATTAATTTTGTCCAATATTTAATACATTTACTAATATAATACACATATAATCGTTGTCTTCCAGTTTCACCAAGAACAGCGTCATTGCTTGCATTATTTGGTAGGTAAAGAATCCGTTTGTAATATTTAGTCTGTACCATCTCTATAGTTTCGTAGTATTTGAACCCCCAAACTTCAGAGCCATATGTTAATATTGGTAAAACCATGGATTCGAACATCTTAATTGCAGTAGTGATTGGAAATCCTCCACATAGATAGTTTATTTTATAGATATAATGACATACTTTTTCTGCTTGTTGTGCAAGTGTTGCCGTTGCTTTTGTCCATAGCAATTTAGGAGTGAAAAATAGTCCCAAATATTTATAAGATGAAACAGTCTCTATCTTTTCTTCTCTGTAAGTCCAATTTTCATAGTTCCTTAAACGTCCACCATTTCTAAAAACGATTATATTTGATTTGTTCATATTTAAAGACAGTCCCCATTTTTTACAAAATTCACTTATACAGTTGATCTGTTGTTGTAATCTTCCAGTGGTATCGGCAGTGTTAGCAACATCACCAGCGTATAATAAAGAACAAATATTTGGTGCTTCTTCTGAGATGAATATTCCACGACAGTCAGATTGATTTAGTTCGTTGACCAATTCATTTATAAACAGGCAAAAGAGTGTCGGGCTGATCATACATCCTTGTCGCGTTCCAATAAAACAGTTAAAATATTCAGTTAAAAAGTTATCCATAAAACGTTTCCATGGATACCATATTTCATAAGCCGATGCCAAAGCAAGTTATGGTGAACACAGTCAAACGCTTTACTGAAGTCAATGAAGAGACAATAAAATCTTCCACCGGTTGATTTTGATAGATAGCAGCTATATATAAAGTCTATATATCGAGTCTGGACCAGACAATCCGGTGATTGACATCATGAGCATCGATCCACGCAATTGGAATACGATGACATGCATCAGCGAGCCTACGACAAGCATAGTCGCTTTTTACGGCAAGCATGGATTGCTGAAGACCTATTCTACCCCGGATCTTCATCGGTCAGCTGTTGACGTAATACATATTGTTAACGTAATGCAAATACATCTGTTGACGTAAAGCAAATACAACTGTTGACGTAATGCAAATACAACTGTTGACGTAATACATATTGTTGACGTAATGCAAAGACGAATGAGTTTTGTATGATGCTACTTTGAACAGAACTTCAAATATTTAACGGCGTGACAGCATAGTGTGGGAGGAAAACCCACAGTGATGCACAGACGTTGACCACTATGGTGAAACCCACAGCTGTGGTGCTGACAAACCTTTAAACATTATCACAAAGAATCTGTTCCTGTCTAAGGGACGCAAATGTGAACAGCGAATTTGCAGCTGTGACTTGACCATTCGTGTCCCCAGGAAAGCCCGAAGTGATACAGGTCTTACCAACGCGTGTGTATATATTTCTGACAGTACAATAATCGCAATCGTGGAGTAGAACCTACAATCAGTCGATTCGCAAGGGACGCAACTCCACACAACAACTTGCACTCCCTTCGACCCCAGGGAGCTCCAGGCCCTCAAACGGTCCAATAAGCAGTAAACCAATAGTAGTGGTAGTAGTAATGGTGGTAGTGGTTGTAGTCGGCCCAGTGGCAGAAGAAGAAGGAGAATAAGATGAAGATGAAGAAGATGACGATAAAGAAGAAGATGAAGAAGATGATGATGAAGAAGAAAAAGATGATGATGAAGAAGAAGAAAGGAAGAAAAAGATGACGAAGAAGAAGAAGAAGATGATGAAGAAGAAGACATATATAAGTAGTGTAACTTGCCTTGATCCCTCTAATTTAAGAACAAACTCCAAATGTTTGTCAAAGCTGTGGCTGAGAGACCGGTTGTGCCACTGTGCTAGAATGCCTCTGTTTGTGGGCGAGAAGTCGGCTAGTATGACACTATCGCAGTGTTGTGATGCGCTCATCGTGCTGTGCACGGTAGGCCCGGTGCCGATGTCAAGCAGTACCCCGCCTTTGATGTTGCCTGCTTAAGAAATAAAGAAAGTTACAATATACATTGACCAAACCAGTAAGATGACCTGTTGTAACAACGAGTATATTGTAGCAGTATTAATGCCTCACTGGACCCTGTTACATCACACTTTCATGAAACATTCATGTCTAAATCTGAATTTGTCCACATCCTTTGACTTTACACTAAACTGATCATTTTACTACTGGCCATGTTGAATATATTTATATTTATATATGCTAGGATATTTACTGTATTTGGAATGTGTATTGGGTTTGGACACGGATGGAGTCTTTTGATGTTACTACATATTCGACGTAATAAGCGCCCCGCTCTAATAAGCGCCCACGCCGATATTTGCTAATGTATTGGGTAATGAACAATCTCAATTAACGTTCCGATTGATCAATCAACACAAGACTTATTTATTCGTGTATAATACGTGCGTACCACCAACCCATCAAAGACCCAAATCAGTCATATTCCATTTGTTGTTTATATCATTGGCTTCACCTTTTTGTTTATATTACATGCTTCACCGGCCAATATGTTTTACCCTTCTGTGTACTCATACAGGCTTCTCCACTCCAGCCACGAACTGCATCTTAAACCTGCTCAACTGTATACACTCAACTGTATACACACTGCCTCTTATATTGTATATATACTTGTCAACAATACTCTGTACATCACCCGCTTGATAACGGTGTTAGAACCTATACCTAAACGTCACTCCTAATCGTAATAAAGAATTGTTCATCCATATATCTTATCCTTATTTAGTACTCCAACTTCTACATTCCTCTCAAAGAAGTAAAATTCAACCAAGTTTGCTTTATGGCGCAGAAATATGTGGGAACTATTTACCGACACAACGTAGAAAAAATACATTAAAAACTCTGTACATTTGTCCCAGGTGTAGCTAACGTTCACCAAACAAGGATATTCTCTCTGAATGTAGCAGATGTCAGTTACAAATGAATAATAAAACAAGAGTTATTTCAATTTGGATAAGATTACTAAGACAACCAGAATCATGAAACACTGCTACAACATGTACACGATAATCGAGATGTAAACTGGACTTCGTCAGGTCGAGACTTGTTATTCAGATACGGATTTTACTACGCTTTGATTTCTCAAAATGTTGGAACCCGAGAAGTATGTTTGTCTCTTTTTAAACAACGTTTCAAAGACATTTACTATTACGAATGGACATCTGACAAAGCAAACTCTAGTGTTTTACACACACACTCGACATTTAAATCTAACATGGCACCCGAGGTCTATCTACAAGCTCAATCATCTCCACAACTACGAAGATCCTTAACAAAGTTCAGATGTGGTATCTTTAATTTAAATATTCTACTGCTTAGAAGATCAAAAGTTAATGATATTAGTACAGCTATCTGCCACTATTGTTTGAACTTGCAGGATATTTTATTTGAATGTCCTTTGTATACAGAAGAAAGAAAGACATATATTCCTAATTTCTATACCAGTACACATAAATGTGCACATCTACTAAAACCCCAAAATACAAACATAATTTTACGACTCGCTATATTTCTCTGAAAAAGTGTCAAAATATAAATGTAAATTGTCGACAACTGTATATAATTGTGTATAACTGATCTTACCAGGCGTGGGTAAAACTGTCACTGTACTATTGGCCTCATGGCCAAAGAATACGAATAAAATGTCTGTCTGTTTGTCACATTCCCTCTGAGAGTTACTGTCAGAGTTGCTCTTTTCTCTAGCTAAAAGTTACTCTCGGAGTCATTATAACTAAGAGTTTTCTTAACGAGTTAGGAGCATTCTTAAGAAAATTCTGAAAATGTTTATGAATACTACCACTGATGTTAAACCCTAAAATGTCGGTAGGCAAAACATGAGCTCTCCGATGACCTCCAGAAAATAGATGTTGTTCTTTCTAATATACAATATACAGTATATTCCTTCAGACATTAATGTATTGAAACAGAGATTCAAATTACCTTCTGCAAACGCCTCGTGAAATTCAGAGAGGACGAACGGCATAACGCCCGACATTGGGTCCGTGTAGTAGGAAGTCAAATATGCCTGGCTGTCAAAGAGAGTGTTGTAGTCATCGCCATGAAGCAGCCGCAGGTCTGTCATGGCGGAGTTGGCTTGATGCCAAGGCAATCTGTTGCAAACATAAGTCAGGATTTGCGGACATGCTCAGTGTTAGTATTGATTGTCGACAATCCTATAATAAGAAGATTAAAATACTCTGGTACAAATGATGAAGAGAAGATAGTGTTCACCACTCTTTATTTGCTGAGTCCTTCGTAACATTAAATATGTTCTGAAGAATAAAATAAATATACTCTTTAGTGATAATAAAGCAAATAAATCAATTACAGTTCTTGTAAAGTATTCAAACATTCATAATGTTCACCTAAAATCATCAAGGATTTCTCCTTAAATTTAACTCGCTCAAAAATTCACATTTACAGTAAATAAACATTTTCTTTGACTGAGATTTACACAGCAAAGAATAGTTATACCATTTAGGGGATATAACAATACTTGAAAACATTACAAATAGCAGCATATATTTTGAGCACTCAAAGATGATTGAAAATCGAACAACACGCTCTTTGAAAAATGCAAAATGAATTATCAATAAAGTTGCATTTATGACATGATAATATATTAAACAAAAAAGAGTATTTTATACCTGAAGATTAGTGCTCAGCCGCTTACTATCTGCAACACACAGACATTCTCATTTATTTGACCATCGCGGGTCACTCACGCTCATCGCTGGAGCTCGCAAAACACAACAGGGAGTCATCATTATTTTGGAAACACAATACATATACCAAAACGGCTTGATCAAACCGGCAAACTAAAATATGTCTTTCTTGGCATAAATGAAATTAAATATTAGTTATTTTACATTCAAATGACATTTCAACCATACCCCTAAACAAGAAACGCAAATCCAGATTTGTGTGAGGTAGGAAAATACACTTGTACGAGTAACCGAACGAGGTATTGAGCCAAAATGTTGTGGAGAGAACACTTGGTGATTGTAGTCATCTCAGTTATCCGGTATATAGGATTTTTCTTAGGGTTGGGTAAATACGCTCCAAATGTTGCTGTTAATGGATATATGGGATGGATTCCTCCGATAGTTAGACAGTGGATGTGTATTGTTAGACAGTATTGTCGTTTTACTAAAATGTCCCTTAGATTAAATAAGTATGTTTTTATGTGGTCTGAACGTTATGCTGGTGGACGTGTGAAAAACTGGAATTTTCGTGTGAGGGCAAAGCTGAACGAATGGGGTCTGAATATTTCTGAGAATGTTAGCGTGAAAAGTGTAGTTGTACGTGTGCAAGATATATGCATGTGACGTAGTGCGTCTTTGACTGACGTAGCTTGTCTTTTGGGTCTACTACTTTATCGGGGGAATTAGCGGTAGCAGCGGTCACGACTGACTATCACCTTGAAGAACAGAGAAGGCTGCTGAGTTGATGGCGTTTATTCGGTGGAAGCAGAGTGAAGTGTACACAGAAGTACATTTAATTATAATGACAAGATAATATGATACGTGTACAACACGTGTTAAGAGGTAGAGTCATATTCATATAATTGTATACATATAATTATAATTATTCGTTACGTGTACAACACGTATGATCATAATAATATAATCGGCATACAACCGATAATGACATGACTGTAAAGATGTACAATATATTTGTTTAACGGATGGTTATTAAAAGGCATTTATTACGCGAAAACATGTCTTGTAGAAAACAGTAGAAAACGACGAGGAAAAAGGAAACAACAGATCTCATGTTTGAATATTAAAAACAAACAGGTCCGACACCCCAGACAGATATGCAATGCCCTTGCAGACCATCTCAAAGATGTATTTATGGACAAATCTGAACCACATTATAATGATGAATTCAAAGGGGGCATTGACAAAGAAGTTGAGAAAATACGTCAAACAATCCAAGCAGAAGGTAACAAGGCTGAACTTCTATTTACTTCACAGGAGGAGGTATTTCGCTTGTGCCTCTCACTTAAAAACAACAAGGCAGCAGGTGCAGACAAAATCACCTATGAACACTTGAAGTATGGGGGAAAATATTTATCAAGATGTCTTGCTTTACTATTCAATCTCATATTACAATCAGGATATATCCCAAGAGATTGGAAGAATGGGGTTATAGTACCCATATTTAAAGGCGGAGATAAATCTAAAATGTCTCCAGACTCTTATAGAGGCGTGACACTCCTTCCAGTTATATTTAAAGTGTTTGAACTTGTGCTATCTAAAAGACTTCCACAGATCACAGATTCTGACTCCTTCCCATGCAATCAACAGTTTGGTTTCCAAAAAGGAATGTCATCAATCCACACATCATTTCTGGTACAAGAAACAGCTTACCATTACTCAGAGCGTTCCGATGTAGTTCATGTAGCATTCCTTGATAGCTCTAAGGCCTTCGACACTGTCTACCAGCCTGGCCTTCTCCTGAAACTCTACTATATGGAAGTGCCACATCCACTCTGGACAATTTTTGATCATATTTACACGGATATGAGAAGTTGCGTTTTAGCAAACAACGAGAAGTCATACTGGTTTCAACTTCACAGAGGTGTTCGACAAGGGAGCATTTTATCTGCAAAACTATACCTACTGTATATAGATGAGCTCTTGCGAAACTTAGTTAGGAGTAAGAAGGGATCTGTTGTACTGGACGTCAGCATTACTGCTCCCACCCAAGCTGACGATATCACTTTGATCTCTCCAGTGCCAGCACATCTTCAAGAAATGGTGTCTATTTGTGAAACATACAGTGGGCAATGGAGGTTTACATTTTCTCCGTCAAAGAGCAAATTATTGACCTTTGGCCCATCAAGTGCCGCTAACATCAATATTACATTGTATGGTCAAGAAATCACTACTACAAGAGAAATTAAACATGTTGGAATTTTACTTGACTCGGAATACAGCTCCTGGGAACGGACATTAGATGCCTGCTCAAAGATGAGGTCTACCACAATGGCGTTGTTAAGAACAGGAGTCCACGTAAGAGGACTGAACCCTCTGGTGAGTTCCAACATCTTAAAGAGCGTCTGTGTACCAAGAGCCCTGTATGGATGTGAATTGTGGTGTGGCTTAAGCAAAGCTGAACTGTTATTTTTAGAGCGTGCCCAGAGAGCTGCATTAAAAATTGCACAAGGTCTCCCTCGAAGCACACGGACTGATATTTGTAATGCCCTAATTGGATGGACCCCCTTGGAATCTGAAATAGACAAGAGAAAACTTCTGTTTCTAGGGAACCTATGCAATAGTAGAATAACGTTCCTTCCGAGAAGAATTTTCAGTACTAGGCTTTCCCTCTCAAATTACTATTGCTCTACCACTTCCCTGGGTTATGTTCCTGACATTAAACGTATTATGTCTAAATATAATCTTGAGCAATTCTTGAGCAGCTTTAGTACCCATGGTACATTCCCCAGCTGTCATACCTGGAAGAAAATTGTGAAAGATGCCATTAAAGCGAATGATCTTGAAACCTGGAGAAAACGCATAAACTCTGATCCAGACCTAATGCATTTTAAACAAATTCATCCGGTTATCTCCCCTCACAAAGCATGGGAAATTGCTAGAAGAAACCCAGATCTGAAACAAGCTGCAACCTTCGTGATCCACTTGTGCGCAGTCTGGAGACCTGGGAAAATCCAGGGAGTGTGTGACATGTGTATGTTTGCCCACCAGGACTTGCTCGTCCATGTTGTGTGTATATGTCCACAGACAGAGCAACTCAGAGACAGTTTGTGGTGTAGCATAGTCGACACTTGTCCAGTGGAAGTCAGCGTGGCTCTTCATAACAAGCAGGAAATTGAGTTAGTTTGCTGTCTCCTTGCATGTACGCCCCCGATCCCAGCAAGTCCAGAGATGGTAGAGAACTTTGCAAAAGCTGCAGTCATAGGTCTCTTCCAATTGAAGAAATATATAGACCTTGTGAAGAAACATTATATGTTCTGACATGTGAGCAGGGATAGACTTAACATAAAAATGCCTGTTTTCGTACACTTGTAAATACTGTATTTATATGTCTGTAACTCTCCTATGGAGGAATAAAGAATATATATATATATATGGCGTTTATTCGGTGGAAGCAGAGTGAAGTGTACACAGAAGTACATTTAATTATAATGACAAGATAATATGATACGTGTACAACACGTGTTAAGAGGTAGAGTCATATTCATATAATTGTATACATATAATTATAATAATTCGTTACGTGTACAACACGTATGATCATAATAATATAATCGGCATACAACCGATAATGACATGACTGTAAAGGTGTACAATATATTTGTTTAACGGATGGTTATTAAAAGGCATTTATTACGCGAAAACATGTCTTGTAGAAAACAGTAGAAAACAGTCATGCGTGGATAGTTTAACAACATACTGTTATAAGAGACGATATAAATACATGTTGGCCGACTCAGTTTTTATTCTTACTAGGTTGCAGCCAAATCATTGCTATGAGTATGTGTCACTGAATGTAGGAACGTACAAGTTATTGACATTGGTACACATACTCATATTAGGATGTTGCCGTGCAACTAGTATACTAATATACGTTCGCGGGAGGAAGTATTGTCTGGATATTAAGTCAATGATAATTTTCACAACGCTACGATATAGTCGAAATAGATCCAACCTACACCTAACGTATTAAGATCGAAGCTGACAAAATAAGTTAACAGTTAAGTAAATAGTGTCTTACCTTGAAGAACAGAGAAGGCTGCTGAGTTGATGGCGTTTATTCGGTGGAAGCAGAGTGAAGTTTGCTACCACCGACCGCCGTATATATACAACTCATTATGTTACATAACTAAAGATCACAACATCCAAGGTGTCAGCGGTCGATCGGCTGTAACCATGGATGGGCGTGTCATTATTTACGGATTTATTCAAGTAGGTTGTTATATTGCCTAACTGACCCACAGTCGGACTGACCATGTGTGCCGGCCCTGTGACGTGAAGTTAACTCACTAATCACTGGTTCTCAGAGAGAGTGACCCTTTTTGTCAGCCTGGCTGGGCAGACTTGCATAATGAGCCACTGTCCCACAGCTGAAGTGACCATGAGTTTAGCCGCATATGTGAAACATAAAATATCTTGTATGCGGCGGTCAGTTAGTGCATTCGCTATACTGAATTTACTTTAAGAATAGTCAGATTAGTTTACCGATATAGGTTGATTTATATATATTTTCTAATATGAATTTGGTGGTAGAAAAAAGCTATGACACATGGGAAAGTATGTGTCTGATTGGAATGAACCTTTATGCAAGCCTGGCGGAAAAAACGGGTGGTAACAAATTACGTACGTATAGAATGTTTAAAGATGGGTATGTATGTGAAAGTTATGTAAGTATGTATATGCCTCGTTCTTACCGCTCTGCCTTCTCCAAATTTAGATCAGGTACTGCTCCTCTGAAGTTGGAAACAGGCAGATATACGAATATGAATGTGAATGAAAGAGTGTGTTTTCAGTGTAAGGAAAGTATTGAAGATGAATGTCATGAGTAGTTGAGTGCAGTACTCTGGAACCGCTCCTGGCTTCTGATTGGTCGTTTGGGTCACGTGACCTCTGATGACGTCACCTCCGGTTTCGGTTTTCCAAAAATAGAAGGGGTGGGGGTGGAGGTGGGGGTGG